AACCGCCAGCTATATCATTATTGTCACACCTCTATAATTAGCTGCAATATCAAAAGTATCACAAGGAAATATATGATTAATGCTGTACATTGGCAACCTTGCCAGAACATTTTGCAATCTGTAAAAGAAAAAAAAATGTGGTTGCAGATCTTTAATGAAAATTTAGACTCTGTCACTCTCATTCTCCCCCTCTCTCCCCCCGACTTCTTGTACATCTTAAGGAAGATATTCAGGGTAAATTGGATCCTCTTTTTTTAGGCTTCTGATGAGCTTTCTGTTCTGTGATTCATACACTGTCATTACCATCAAACATAAAAGGTCAATTTGCTGTGTCAAATCCTTAGAACAGGCTAAAAAGGAAAGCAGTAAATGGGGATATATTGTCGATATCCGTCTGCTCTGTAGAGAGCAAATTTTGCCTTTGGAAGCTACTCTGTGATGATAACACAGGACATGAACTGCCATTTGGCGTGGTTGGAGTTTTCCAGCCAATGCAAGTATGGTGTAGTGGTTAGATTGTTGCCCCCTGACCTGGGAGATCAGAGTTCAAATCCAAGCCATGCTGGTTAAAGTGACATAAGAGTGATTTAAATATATGGTTCGGATATGTCACGTGTGATTAATGTCACGTTCTCTGTCCCAGAGAACGTTGTTTATTTGCATCTCCCTTTCCTAATTCACAGTCAACCTCCTGCTTATTTTCACTCAGATCAGTTTAAGGAATGACCTACTTTGTGATCATTTTTCCATGCAAGAGCAAAAGCCCTTCCTGAAATCTTCTTCAGTCTATCCCAGATGGTTTAATATTAGAACATGGTGGAGGCCTTGGGGAGCTTATGTGACCCAGAAAACCTACTAATCAAGAAGGCAATGAAGCACATGGCATTGCTGTATGTAATTCCTCCTTAGAAAGGCTGTGTTTGTGGAGAAAGAGAAGGAGGAAAGCATGTAGTCAGGCAGATTTGAGACTTACAAGTTTTTAAATTGCTGTTCATGGGGGGGGGGGGAATTACCATTTCAAATGGTAATTTTGGAATGTTCCTGAGCCGTATGTATTGCTTGGTTCCTTTTAAAGTTCCTATTGGTTTTCTCTGTCCTATGCATTTTCATTTACTATCTTTCATTTACCATCTTTCTCAACTAGTATAAATGTCCTTCCATGGATCAGTTGGACTACAATGGTGGACTCTGCAAATAAAATACAGTGGTACCTCTAGTTACGAACTTAATTCGTTTTGGAGGTCCGTTCTTAACCTGAAACTATTCTTTTTTTAAATATTCTTTTATTAGGAATTTCAACATAACAATTTATCAAAAATACATCATCCTTATTTCCCCCTGTTTTAGAAAAATGAGAAATCGAGAGAAAGAGAAACTGACATATTCTCCGATCCCTAGTGTAGTGACATCCACTTCCCACAGTAGAGAGGGTGAGAATAATGGGCGCACCACAAAAGATTCATATCAGGATCCTATTTGCATGTAAACTCCCTGAAGCAGCATGGCAATTCATTCATGGATGTCTGCTTCCACACGTGGATGTTCCCTGACAGATGAGGTTTACAGACAAATCATTGGCTCTGTTGCTGCGTTCATCTTATTTTGGTCTAATTCGCCTGATTGAGTTTTTCTTTCTTTCTTTCTTTCTTTGGCATGGTAGATCAACTACATGGTGATTATTTCACCAATGTCAGTTTTTGCTTTGTGACTGGAGAGGAGTGTTTCTTCCCCACCTCTACTCCTGTCAAAGAAAAATCCAGTTTGAATGGTTTGCCCTGGCATAGTAAATGCCACCTTTCATCACCTGAGGCTACATTCAAGTGGAATATTTCCCATGCAAAACTGACATTTAAATTGACATTTTAACAGCAACACAAGAACCAGGGTTTAGTAATCCCAATTTATTTTTTAAACAAAGTAAACCTTTCAATTGTGCAGCTTTTAGAATGATTTCATGAAACAGATCCTTAGGTTATTACAGCAGCAATCCAAAATATACTGACAGTGGAATAAATAAGGCTTACTTCTGAATAAATGTGATTAAGTATGGGATGCGAAGTCTTCACAAAGAATCTAAGGTAAGGAACTGCAAGTATTTGAGTGTGGGTCATTAGATGTATGTAGATGGATAAGGACAGCAGAGTGAGCAATGCTTTATTCATTCATCAGATACATTTATGCTCTAGCTTTCAAGGAAAGAAACCATCCCAAAACAGCTTATATTGATTTAAAAACAAAAACAATAGTATAAATACAATTAAAATCAGTCAAAATAACCACACCAGCAGCTAATGTATGTATATGCATACAAAAATGTATATTAGGATAAATTAGTTGAGGAATTTTCATGAGGGCTTTCTTCTTTTAAAAAACAAAAAGTTGATATGGAAATGTGGAGAACTGAATTTAAGAATGGAAAAATGGGAGAATAAGAGAAACCAAATTTGAGAGATTTGTCCATCCCCAACCCATTCAGCAGGCTCTTGACGGGCTCCTGGAAGTTGCTGGAGTACTCAGTGGGGACAACACACACACATTCACACACACACACACACACACACACACACACATTTTAATACCTGGGAGCTGTGCATTATGCTTCCCTTATCCAGACAGATTGAGGCCTGTTGGCACCCAGCCTTTGAATTCCTTGCAACATGGGGAAACCATCCCCTGTTAGAGCCTCATCACTGGATCTGACAGATTTTCCTGCTGTCCTTCTCCAAACCAGGAGGAAGGGCACAGAAATATTCCTCTCCAGTGCCCAGGTTCAAGTATCAACTGAAACATTTGCTTGCAGGTCCCACTTGTAATAACGCCAATCTTTCTTATCACTTCATGCACTTGCGTTTTTGCTGTGTGCCCGACACCACTGGTGTTTGAATGACGAATTGCCACTGGGTGCAGGAGGACCTGCATGACCCTCCTGTCTCTTCATATCATCTGTCCTCTGATGTGGCCTCTTGGTCTCTGTCCATGCTGCCGGCTACCATTGTACCTAGTCCTAGTCTGTACTCCTAGTGTCGCGGCCGGTGCCCTGCATGTTCGGAGAATAACATTGGCACTCAGATTGTCAGTTCTCTTAATACTCTTGTCAGTTTCTGAGCTATTGTCTGCTCTCTGCTTCCTGCTGCTTCATTCTTTTCCCTGACTGAATACAGAGTGGTAATGTTTTTGATGGGGACTCTCTGCCAGGTGCTGACATCTATGGAAACTACATGCTGACATGCTAACTCCCTTTTGCCTGTAATGAACTAATGGTGTTAGCCTCAGTAGTGTAGTGGCAAATTCAGGTGTGAAGGGTCCCTTTGTGATTGTCACAGCCACTCTCCCTCAAAGCCACACTGCTTCTAAGATTACATAGCCTCCTAAGATTATGCAATAATCTCATAATCATATGGCAATAAAAATTAGGAGTGCACTGCAACAATCAATACAGATCTCCATGTGTTGCCTTAAATGTGCACACCCCCACACACCCACAGAGAGAGAGGCAAACGATTGGGAGTGCTCCAATACCACAATTTGGAGTGACTTAAGTTGTGTTTTCCATGAAATTCCATTGTAGGTAACCAAACTTGCCCAGCATTGTCTTGAAACTGAAGCACCTTGTGCTTAGCATTGGAGTACACAGTAAATAGCTCCCCTTTCATGCTTATTGAGCAGCTCTAGGATATTGGAGACAGGCTCTGCTGCCAAAATAGTAATGGGCTTTCAAACACCCTCTTTGTGACCCTGGGATACTACGCCACTGGCATATGAACCACACAGGAAGCTGTCTCATGCCATTAAAGGTAAAGGTAAAGGTACCCCTGCCCGTACGGGCCAGTCTTGACAGACTCTAGGGTTGTGCGCCCATCTCACTTAAGAGGCCGGGGGCCAGCGCTGTCCGGAGACACTTTCCGGGTCACGTGGCCTGCGTGACAAAGGTGCATCTGGCGAGCCAGCGCAGCACACGGAACGCCGTTTACCTTCCCGCTAGTAAGCGGTCCCTATTTATCTACTTGCACCCGGGGGTGCTTTCGAACTGCTAGGTTGGCAGGCGCTGGGACCGAACAACGGGAGCGCACCCCGCCGCGGGGATTCGAACCGCCGACCTTTCGATCGGCAAGCCCTAGGCGCTGAGGCTTTTACCCACAGCGCCACCCGCGTCCCGTAAACACTCTGTGAGGTGAGTGGGGCTGAGAGACTTCAGAGAAGTGTGACTGGCCCAAGGTCACCCAGCAGATGCATGTGGAGAAGCGGAGACGCGAACCCGGTTCCCCAGATTACGAGTCCACCGCTCTTAACCACTACACCACACTGGCTTTCTCTCATGCCATTACACCAGGCTATTTGTCCACCTAGGCAAGGGTTATCTGCTCTGACTGCAGGTGGCTATCCAGGGTTTCCAGAAAAGGTCTTTCCCGTCACTTGTGACCTGATCCTTTTCATGGAATCACAGAATTGTAAAGTTGGAAGGGACCCATGACCCTGAGATTAAGTCTCATGCTCTGCTTACTGAGCTATCCATGATCTGGGTGGATCTGGGTCTTTCTTCATACAAAGCACACACTCTACCAATCAGTGCTGTAACCTCTAAGGGCCCCCAAACTCTTAACTGAACCCAGAACTTTTATCCACATTATAAAGGTAAAGGTACCCCTGCCCGTACGGACCAGTCTTGCCAGACTCTGGGGTTGTGCGCTCATCTCACTCTATAGGCCGGGAGCCAGCGCTGTCCGCAGACACTTCCGGGTCACGTGGCCAGCGTGACAAAGCTGCATCTGGCGAGCCAGCGCAGCACACGGAAACACCGTTTACCTTCCCGCTGGTAAGCGGTCCCTATTTATCTACTTGCACCCGGGGGTGCTTTCGAACTGCTAGGTTGGCAGGCGCTGGGACCGAACGACGGGAGCGCACCCCGCCGCGGGGATTCGAACCGCTGACCATGCGATCAGCAAGTCCTAGGCACTGCGGTTTTACCCACAGCGCCACCCGCGTCCCGCGTATCCACATTATAGGTACAGGTATTGGGCATGCTTTTTTCTCTTTGTCAAACATAGGTTGACTTCTCTCTGAAGTCTCTGTGTCATTTCTTGGGGGCTCTGATAGTACATGGGGGCCATGGATTCTTTACTTGAATCAAAGGTTCCTGCCTTTGAGCTAAGCAGAGGAAGGGCTGATCCAGTTCCAAATTAGGACTATCATCCATTCCAAGGTATCTTCTAAATAAGTGAAGCAAGGTGCATGCCATACAGTAGTTTTTATTTATCAAGTAAATATTCTTTAGGCACACTTTATTCATCTTGGTATAGCTTTAACCCATCAAGACCTTAAGAACCAATACAGACTTCCTTTCTTCTAAAAAAAAAGGGGGGGGGTATCTGTTGCACAGAGTTCCTCACCATTATTCATCCCCACCTCAAAATGGCAAGTCTCTCATTTGCTTAGTGGATTTCCCCTCCCCTCCTTGGAACCCACCTAGAGTACAACATGAGACTTCCCGAATCAGAAAGAAGTGTTTGCCCAATGAGAATGTAAAGTACTGGGTTGATGGTGCCACTCAGAGAAGTGAACACGAAAGCCAATGAGGAGATGGTTGCAAAATCACGGTGCAAGGCAAAGAACAAATTCAGGGGAGCCCAAGTGACAAGGGAGAAAAACATCCCGAGCAAAATTTCTGTGCAAGGTTCTCCCTGCTCACCTAAGTTGCGCCAGATCTTGATGACCAGTGTCTGGGTGGAGATGACCATTAGCGGAGCAAAGATCATTAAGGTGAGGATAATGATTGACTGCGGGTCAAGCCCCAAATTGAAAAACAGTAACAGCCAGCAAGACAGAGCCCAGAGAAGAGCAGACACAATAGCAGATAGGAGAACAGACAAATATTTTGGACTGTGACGTCGGGGCCAAATAGGGAAGAGGCCAACCAAGAACCAATCAATAATGATGGACATTAGGAAATGCATGCTAGTACCTTGCATGAAGAAAAATAGGTATGCCAGTAACAGGAGCAATTTAACAAGAGCATCACTCGAATCCTCACAAGTGCAAAAGAATATGAAGATACTGCACAGAACTAACAGGGCACCAAAATCAGCTACAGCTAAATTCCAGATGTAGACAGTGAAGGAAGTCTTTCTAATACGGAAAAGGAGAAAGAAGAAGATGGTTCTGTTCCCAAAAAGCCAAAGCATGAAAATGAAGATAATGAAACGAGCAATCATACGATCTTGTAATAAGCATGTCAGAAAGCTCTTTGTGTGCTCAGATGGACAGGGAATATTTTCTAAAACTTGCAAATATTCAGTGGGAAGAAGTGTTGTGTTCAGTACAGTCATATTCAAACCACCACTTCTTAGATGCTGGCCTCTTCCACATATGGTCCTGTTAGCTGAAGGAAGAAGGAAGTCCTCCTAAAGAGACAAATGCCAACAATTTAAAATTGGAACTGAATGCTGAAAGTCAATTCACAATGAATGGAGAAGGAAGCTGGCCATGTATGTTACCCAGTGCAGGTGCTATATCACCTCCTTGCAAAGTGTAGCTTGCAAATAGTGAGCCAGGCTCAGTAAAGCACAACATCCTCCCTAACTTAACTGGCATATATTTCTCTCTCAGGAATGCATCCAAACAGAAGATCCTATCAAAGGTCCATCAAAGATATCCAGACCCAGGACTCACTTTTAACCCAAACCCTTCTTAATTTTCTACCATATATTTGCATGGTGGTAGTGCTCCTATTGTGAACCACCTTAGATCAGGTCTTAACCCACTAGTAGGCACTGACCCACTAGTTGATAATCAGTAATCTAGTCCAGGGGTTGGCAACATGTGGCCCATGGGCCGGATCCGGCCTACGAAGACCGTTTCACCGGCCCATGAGCCCCCCCGAACCAAACCGAGCCGCCCGCTTGGTGAGTCCCCTGTGCGCTGCGCAAAACTGGCGCAGCGTGGCACAGGGACTCGCCAAGCGGCACCGGAAATTACGTCTGTGCGTGCGCAGATACCGGAAATTGCTTCTGCGCAGGCACAATTTTTGGCATCTGGGCATGCGCAGAAGCAATTTCCAGTGCCACAGACATGTGCAGATGTGATTTTCGGTGTCACGCTGTGCCGGCCCGGCCCACGGACGATCTCCGCGGGAGTGATCCAGTCCATGGCCGGTAAGCCTTGCCAACCTGATCTAGTCCATCCTTCTGTTTCCAAGTGCTTTCAAGATGCTTCTAGAAACTATACAAGTGGCATTTAAAAGTGACAGCTCTGTTTGCCCTCCCTGCAACTGTTATTCAAAGGTATAATTGGCATACTGCTTTTACCATGGAATTTACATTGAGCTATCAATGTGGAGCTCAGAGCTATCTTCCATGATCTTTTGTAATCCCCATTGGCAGTCCTATGACTTGGTGGCTATCCACAGCTTGTGGCAGTAAATTCTCTCCCCTCGATTTCCTTCACTGTGGCTCAGATTTATATATTCATAGTACATAACAATGGTCTGTGTTGAGCAGGCTTGTTTTACTTGACCAGTGTCTAAGGCAGAGATTTCCAAACTGTGTGTCACGACACATTGTGTGTTGGCTGCAGAATGTAGGTGTGTCGCGTGAACACTCCCCATGCTCCTTCTGGGGTTGGAAAGGAGTTAGTTTAACCTCTGGTTTGCTAGTAAAACTGAATTACTGTGTTGCCAAATGATGCATGTCTAAAAAGTGTGTCAGCGGCATGAACATTGGGAAAGGTCTGGTCTACAGTATATTTTGAAGTTGGTTGACAAACCATGGGGTGACCTTGTTAGCATTGGCCGTGGTTTGCAACACAAAACCCCTGGCTTGTGAGTATAGCAAACTAGAGAAGAGAGGGAGGAATTTGTACCAGAAAGTGGAGTTTCTGGGGACTGGTGTTTAATTTGCAAGCCATGGTTTGTAGAGAGGCAGTGCTTTTTCTGCCCCAGGTCAATACGTGTGGCAGAAAACACTTACTTTTGTTTCTGAACAATTTGTCGAAACAGAAGAAACCTGGTCACTTCCTGACAGCTGGATGAGGCCCCAAAGCCCAATCCAAAGAAGCAAGGGCATTCCTTCCTATTTTCTTCTGTAAAAAAAAGAGAAAGTATCAGTAGTGATTGACATACTGCTCATACTGCAGTATGGGGGGGGGGGGAGGAGAGAGGAGATTGTTCCACCAGGCAAGCATAAATACTCATGTTGATGGAGCAATCTGCATAGCACAACTTCGAAATCCACCCAATGGATTTACTTCTGAGTTGACATGTATAGGATTGCATAGTGATTTTGTGAATGGCCACCATTCACATTCACCATGCACTTTTCTCTGTCCTCACTGTTTACAGCCGGCCTGTATATATATGTACTTGTATCTCAAAATAACACACCATACCTGATGAAGTGGGCTGTAGGCCACAAAAGCTTATGGCATAAGCCCAGTGCCATAATAGTCTTCAAGGTGCTGTTTTTTGCTGCAGGAGACTAATACGGCAACCCCATCTTCAAGCTGGAATTTTACTACACCCATACTGCAAATGGCGGAGTCATAGTGGATTTCCTAAGGCTATCTAGTGATTTCATGAATTAGCATAAAGTTGAACTGAGGACTGTCTTATTCACAGATCATGCGCTTAACTGCTATATCGTATCAGTTTCGCCACTGCATAATCAAAATTCCACCCTGAGCCACCCCAAGGATCTTTCAGGAGGAAGGGCAGGATGTAAATTAAATACATACATACATACATACATACATACATACATATATCTGAGCTCTCTCAGGCCCATCTCCAAGTTGTTGACTAGCACACATTTGCTTAGTAATATTGTCACCACTCAGTATTACTCATGTCAATGCATGACAGGTGCAATTTCAGATTGCAGGTTCACATTCGAGCTTTGGCCTATATAGGATATTCAACAAAACAAAACAAAGCAAAACAAAACAAAACACAAAACAAAAAAAACAAAAAAAACTACAACGTCTGAAAATAGTAAAGCAAATAATCAACTTAGAGTAGTAACAATGAACAAGCTTAAACATAAAGAAAACCTACCCCCTGCCAAAAAAAAGTTGTTTCAGCAAGAATAGTGTCTGTTATCAGTTGCTAGTTGGATAACATTCTTGTAACAGAATCTGTTCTGTTGTTCTGCTTCCACCCTCCTTCTCCCTGATGTCCTCTCTCTCCTCTACTTTTCCTTCCTCTACTCCTGCAGTCCTCTCCTGGGTTTCTTCTCCTCTAACTGTCACCAACTGACTTGCTAATCGTCTTGCTCTTTCCTGGCATTCTACGCCCCCACCCTTATCATTCATGCATTCTAGTACCCATATTCTATTCTATGGTGTTACATAGGAAGCTGCTTCATTCCAGGCTAGACTATTTATATTTGCCCACCCATCTAATGTGGTTTACTCTGACAGGTAACAGCTCCCAAGGTCTTGGGCAAATGTCTTTTCCATCGCTGACTACCTGATCCTTTCAACTGGGGATATTGGGTATTGAACCTGGGATTTCCTATATGCTTGCAAAAGAAGTATGTACCTGGGATAGCTCAGTCAGTAGAGCATGAGACTCTTAATCTGAAGATTGTGGGTTCAAGCCCCACATTGGGCAAGAGATTCCTGCATTGCAGGGAGTTTGACTAGATGCCCCTCGTGGTCCCTTCCAACTCTGTAATTCTATTCTGCTCTAGTAGCGAACAATGGTCTCTGTCCCTGTATGCTTCTCCTGCTGGCTTCACCTTTGATAAACAACCTTCAGGAAAGTGATTTTTTTTTTAACCTCTTCTCCAACCAACCAGACTTTTGACATGGTCAATGCAACTTCATACATGCTCTTTCCTCCTTTGGTATCCAAAGGAACCCAGGTCACCAGTACTTGAGAAAATGATAGCTTGTCTCTCAGGCCCCCTTTCCTGGTTTTAGGACCTGAACATGCTTGTACAAATGAAACTGGACTCTCTAGAGGCATCTTTAGTCTCATTCATATTTAACATTTCCATTAGACTGGAACATTTTAATTTGAATCTCACCATCCATAACGTTTTTGGTTCGGAATTTTTCCACTCTGTTGTATAAGCAAATTTTAATCACACTGCTTTGTACTTTTGCGTCAGGCATGATTTCTCATGGACCTCCTTTCTTCACCACCTTCTTTTCTTCTCAAAGCCTGTTCTATCAGCGCAGCTGGGTCTCATTTAGCAGAACTGAACTGAGTAAATATGTTGCCAGTGACAAATTAAGTGACAGATTTTGCCTTTGCATGATTGCGGACTAACTACTCAACTCTGAAATTTATTTTCATGCAAAACTCTTCCACTGTAGCTTTCAAAAGCAACTCTTGATCTGCAAAAAAATCTCCTGTCAGTGTTCACCAACCAGAATATATGCAGTCATTATGTGACATTTTGCTTGTTGCTCTTACTTGGATACAAAACCTATGGGTAGAATTGCAGGATCATAGAATTGTAAGGTTGGAAGGGACACTGAGCTTCATCTAGTCCAACCCTCTGCAATGAAGGAATCTCCACTAAAGCATCCATGACAGATGGCTATCCAAACTCTGCTTAAAAACCTCCAAGGAAGGAGAGTCCACCATCTTCTGATGGAGTCCATTCCACTGTTGAACAGCTCTTACAATCAGAAAGTTCTTCCTGATTGTTTAGTCAGAATCTCTTTTCTTGTAACTTGAAACCATTGTTTTGGATCCTACCCTCTGGAGCAGGAGAAAACAAGCTGGTTCCATCTTCCATGTGACAGCCATTTAGATATTTGAAGATGGCCATCATATCTCCTCTCATTCTTCTCTTTTCCAGGCTAAATATACCCAAGCTCCCTTAACCATTCCTCATAAAACATGGTTTCCAGACCCATGATCATCTTGGTTCTACAATGTATTGGCAGAAAGGAATTAAATCTGAATCAAAACAGAAATATTTCTGTTTTCCCCATTGGATTGCTTGATCTGAAGGTCAAATTTGTTGCTCTAAAAATTAAATTGGTCAGCTTTTTAATTCAAATTGCAATAAATGAAGTAAATGAAGGAGTAAACATGCATAGAATTGGGTTTGAAAGCCCAGAGACTAGACAAAGATTAACAGCAAAGAGCAGAGATCTGAAACCAATAACTGAAACTGCTGCTATGTTGGTAGGAGCAAAGTGATCACAGCATAGAGATCTATCCTACAGCAGCTACACTGGTACTGATGTTACTGGGTTAAATCTGAGGTGCTGGCTTTGACTTTTAAAACAGTCCGAGACCTGGTTTTCTAAAGGACTGTTTATAAAGGTAAAGGTAAAGGTACCCCTGCCCGTACGGGCCAGTCTTGACAGACTCTGGGGTTGTGCGCCCATCTCACTCTATAGGCCAGGGGCCAGCGCTGTCCGGAGACACTTCCGGGTCACGTGGCCAGCGTGACAAAGCTGCATCTGGCGAGCCAGAGCCGCACACGGAAACGCCGTTTACCTTCCCGCCAGTAAGCGGTCCCTATTTATCTACTTGCACCTGGGGGTGCTTTCGAACTGCTAGGTTGGCAGGCGCTGGGACCGAGCAACGGGAGCACACCCTGCCGTGGGGATTCGAACCGCCGACCTTTCGATCAGCAAGCCCTAGGCACTGAGGCTTTTACCCACAGCGCCACCCGCGTCCCAAAAGGACTGTTTATAGAATCATAGAATTGTAAAGTTGGAAGGGACCCTGATCATCTAGCCCAATCCCCCTGCAATGCAGGAACATGCAGCTGTCCCACATGGGGATCAAACCTGCAACCTACAGCTGGATCATATAGTAATATGGTAATTAGGACAGTGGTGGTTAATGTAGATTCTGTAGTTAAACTCAGTGATACTCAGGGCTTTTTTTCCAGCCAGAACTCACCAGGGGCAGTTGGCTGCACAGTATTGGGTTTAGGAGGCCTGATTTACGTGTCCAAACTACATGTATTGTCCAGTGCAGAAAAGAGGTTGAATGAACATACTTAGTACCTACGGGACCACCTCTCCTGGTATGCCCTGTGGAGGACCTTAAGGTCCACAAATGACAACACCTTGGAGGTCCCAAGTTGCAAGGTCTCAACTAGGGCCAGGGCCTTTTCAGTACTGGCCCCGACTTGGTGGAACGCTCTGTCACAAGAGACTAGGGCCCTGCGGGACTTGACATCTTTCCGCAGGGCCTGCAAGACAGAGCTGTTCTGCCTGACCTTTGGTTTGGACTCAGTCTGACCCTTATGTTTCCCTCCCCTTATGGTTTTGATTTATGGGCTACTATTAAAATGAGGCTGCATTTTAAATTCTATTTTAACCTGTATTTTAAATTGGTTTATTTATTTATTTTATTGTAATTTTACTGGTGTTAGATGTCCTCTGGTCAGGGCGGGCAGGGTATAAATAAATTATTATTATTATTATTATTATTATTATTATTATTATTATTATTAAAAAACAAGTTATTGTAGAAATGGAAGGGGACCCAAAAAAGGAAGCTCTCCATTGCTTAAAGTGCAAAAATCAATGCTTTCATAACTACACCATAAGAGCCTGCTGGATCAGGCTAATGACCCATTTTGTTCAGCATCCTGTTCTTACAGTAGCCAATCAGATGCCTTCAAGAAACCCACAAGCAGGTCCTGACCACAAGAGCAGTCTCACCTCCTGTGGTTTCCAGCAAAGGACAATTAGGTACAGCACCCATTAATCATTTCTTCAGTGGCTCATTCTTTACCCAAAGATAGAAGGCAAGTAACAGTTGTTATTGTTGCTTTGCGGAATAATATTCTAAATGGAAAGCTTAAAACATTGTTAAACTTATACAGATTCACCGTCTTAGGAGGAATTGCTGAGTCAATAGCTAAGATTGTCAGCATCTGGTATTTGTCAGTGAGAACATCTTGAGGCGGGGGTGGGAGAATGACTTCCCAGCATGGTGGGATGTGACATAATCCTCTCCCATATTGCAGGCCCATATTGATTAATTTACTTCTAGAAGAAATGTTAACACAGTGCTACAGGGGTCATTTTGAGGTCTTTTGAAAGTGGAAATTGGTGGAAATTCTGCATGCCAAGATTCAAGTTAGGGGAATGAACTCCAGCAGAGATTTCACATAGCAAAATAGGAGCAAAGAAAAAGTGTTGAAATAAAAGCTGTAAAACCTTAAAATGTGCCCTGCAAAACATCCCCTTTTCAGAGTTATTTCCCAATTATCTCACTTCCTCTGGCATAGGAAAAGATCACATGTCTGTAAGTTATAAAATGGTTTACTTACAAACTCTCCAAAGTTCAGATTCATGTGCTTTTCCATACAGTAGTCAGAAGAAGTTGCGCAGGCAGTAAAATATATATTGGTTACAAAATGGTAAAAGCTCCTAAACTATTGCTATAGGAAAATGCTAGTTTTGGACCACATTTTTGCCTGGAACAAAAGTGATGGGTTAAAACCATGTGGCTTGGGGATCAGCTCACAGCTCCTCACACACCAAAGTTCACATGTAGACTAGGAACAAAGGCTGGGTTAGCTATTTCCTCCTAAGGTGATGGGAAGTGACAAAGGCTAAGCCCAGCAGGACAGCTTACTTTATGAACCCCTTCATGCATTAATTAGACTAAAGCATGTTGGTTATATGTGGCTGGTTTAGCCCACAGAAACTGAATACAACTGACACCCCATGAATGCAATCGTAAATTAAGGAATGTTATTTGGGTTCCAGAGCAGGAGATCCGACAACATGTATGGTGTACCTTATGGATAGCCATCTATAGCCTATGCCAGTGCATAGCATAGAGGGTAGAGGTTAGGACACTGGAGACCAGGGTTCAAATCCCCACTCAGTCATGAAGTTCATTGTGTGACCTTGAGCCAGTCATGGTATGGAGAGGGGGAAAACCATGTATGCCACTTTGAGCTCCTTGGAGGAACAACTGCATATAAATGCAAACAATAATAATCGTAATGCATTTTATTAACAAATCTTACCTTGCTTTTGTAGGCCATCCTGAAAGCTCTTCTAAAAGTGTGGCATCTAAATCTTTCAAACAAAAACAAAGAAGCAAGCAAACCAAAATCTGGTTCCTGCACACTCAATAATACAATCCTTCAAACTAAAAAGGAGCGGCGCTGGAAGCATTATGGAAATCTGGGACACCATTCATGTACTAATTAACTGATTGGTTGATTTTTTTATTTTTACTTTAAAAATACATTTATATCCTACTTTTCCTCCAAGAAGCTCAAGGGCAATATACTTAG